AGAAATCAGATGAAACAGAACTCCAGTTGTGGATGGTGGTTGTGTCTCATAACATGTGGGCTATTGTAGCTCAGGAGTCAGTCCTTTCTATGATAACCTCTGTAGCTATAATTTTGTATTTTTCCCACTTTGTCTGAATTCAGTCAGCAATTTTAATTGCTTGTTTTGTCCATTTCTATTTTTTAGTTTTTAGAGTTCCAATTCAAGTTGGTTGTAATATTTAATAATGTTTGTGTACATGTTTAATTGTTTGAAATAATTGGCTTATTGCTTTGTCCTGTTTTGAGGTGATTGTTTTGGGGCAAAAGGCATTCCCCATTTGATAGGTGTCAAATTCTGGACCTCACTTTTTGTCTGTTCATTTTTATGTTTGAGTTCTTGTTGGTTGGTTGTTTTTTTACAGTGTTCTGATGCTAGTATTTCCCTCATTGGTGAGTGTAGAACAGTCTTCAACCTCAGTGGTTTTTATTTTAATGATTGGAGCACCGTTGTGAGAATTTCAGTTTTCTCAATTTCTCTTGTCTTGTGGGACCTCAGATTTCCCCCATTTTCTTTTTTGAATTTATTGTCGGACAAGCGACTCAGAGCTTTTGCATTTTGAGAAGTTGTTATTTACCTGACTTGGACTTAGATAAAACTGTAAAATACTGACTTTTAAGGCATCTCTAACTTGGCCTTGCCTAGAGCAATTGTTTTCAACTCTTTACTTTCTTTTTGGTGGTTCTAGGGATTGAACTCAGGCTCAGCCTTGTGCTTGGCTAGGCAGGCATTCTACCACTGGCACAACACCCCAAGCCTTTTAATTTTTTATTTTTTGCTTTACTTTCTGAATAAGATTTTATGTTTTTGGACCAGCCTCAGACTAATATCCTCCTATCAATGTCCTCTTGTGTAGGTAGGATCCCACTCTACTAAACTTGTTTATTGGGATGGTGGTCTTAACCTTTGCCCAGACTGGCTACAGATTGTGATTCTCTCAATGTCCACCTCTGGAGGAGCTGGGATTATAGGTGTATGCCACCATACTGTTAAATAAAGTAAGTAAAATTTGTACACACAGGATATACTACAGTGGACTTTTATAGTAGAGAAGTAAATAGTGACAACTATGCAGGGACATATTGTAGATATAACAGGTAGTAGATAATATGTAATTCTTATGGTAGTATCTGTAAATCTCCCTCAACTCCCTTCCTGAAGGAGGAATATCAGAATTCAAGCAAAGGGGATGCTCTAAGGATAACCTTAAGCCAGTTCCTGTTCTTTTAAGGTTTAAATCAGGACTGTAGAAGTGTCAAATGACTTCTGAAAGAACACACAAATATTATTGTTCCACTAGTATATGTGTTCTTGTTTGTTTCTTTTAAATAGATTAGTCATTTGGATTTAACTCTAAGATACCATTTTCACTTTGTGAGCTTCAGAGTTTCATTCCTAAAAAACCTTTGGAGGCTTCTGGTTATAAATATTAAGACAAATTTCCCCCAAATTTTAGAAGATTTGCATAAACATAATGAGAAACCTTGAGAATGGTATCCAAGTCTTCAATGCTATTTGTGTCTCATACATTCCTTATGTATAGCTGGAAAGTAATTTTACCCAGTATTTTGCCTGTTTCAAATGCTGTCCTGTCTGTCACATGACAGTCACACATCATGTCAGGTCCTGTTGGCGTTCAGAACATTTCTGATTGTGGATTTTTGAAGTATGGTTCTCAGGCAGTGAACAGTCAGTTGGAAGAGATGCATAGCACACAGGATGTGGGGAAGAGTACAGAGTTTTCTTCTAATGTGCTATTCTCTGGAAGCCCTTCAAATGTCCTGTTGAATTTTTAGAGAGGCTTCATTACATAGACACAGCTGATTATGTCTTAGGCCATTAGTGATGCCTGTCATCTCTTAAGTATTGATATGTAATGTGGATCTGAAGCTGCTGAAAGGTATTGGTCCTCTGAGATTGAGCTTTGGCCTTCTTGAGCTATTGCTTTAGGAGATATTCTTTTTTTCACTTGTTTTCTTTATTCAAGAAAACCATTCACTCAATTATAGTTATGCATAGCAGAATAATTTCTGGATTCTAATTTGTTCTTCACCACTTTACTAGTTGTGTGACTTTGAGAAGTTGCTACTTTATTACTTCAATTTTCTCATGAGAATAATAATGAGGTAGTAAGGAAGTTCTGGCTGTACATCAGGTAATATATGTAAAGCAATTAGTGTGTGGCTCTATCCTACATAAGACTGAAATATTTCTGCCTTGTTTGCAGCTGTTGCTGTGTTTGGCTTTCTCTGAATACCTTTTCTATACTTTTTGGTTCCTTTTCCCTGTATTTCCTTCCCTGCTTGATTTATGTATTTTTTTCTTATTAAGGGCTTTCCATTAATATGCCATATGTATTGTATATTCCTTACTCATTTTGTGTTTCGGTTCTCTGGCTCCACAGGTCAGGGATAAGGATAGAAGCATGGATAAATACCAGGGCCTGGTATTTATTAGGTTCTTAGTAAATAGATTCTAAATGTATTGTATTGAATTGTATGCCAGATACTGACTGGCTATTCTGTATATAAAAAGGAACAAAGTTACAAGTGGCTCATGCCTGTAATCCTAGCTACCCATAACACTGAGATCTGAGGATTGAAGTTCAAAGCCAGCCCAGGAAGGAAAATCCATACCTCTAATTAACCCCCAAAAGCTTAAAATAAAGCTATGGCTCAAGTGGTGGAGAACTAGCCTTGAGCAAAAAAGCCCAGGGACAGCATCCTGGCACTGAGTTCAAATCTCAGGACAGGCACAAAAACAACAAAATGAACAAAGTACGGGACTGTAAGTGTGGGTCAAGAGTAAAGTGCCTGCCTAAAAGTGTGAAGCTCTAAGTTTAAACCTCAGTACCACAAATAGAACAAAGTTTTCTCTTTTAATTTTAAAAAGCATATACAGCATACAGAGGAGACTCATGCTTGCAAAACTAGTGATTTTTTAAAAAGTTAATTATGGTAAAGCTATCTTAAGGATGACCTCCTAGGAAAGTGTCTTTGAACTAAGAAACAAAGGGAGGTCATTTTCAGGCATAGGTAAATATTTAAATGAAGTTACAGAGCTTGACCGCTTGTGGTACAGTTAACAACATTGTAGATGAAAGGTTGGAGGGATAGAGGGGTATCCTTTCCCTTCTTCAATTTTCTTTTCTGTCAGTTGTGAGTCTTGAACTCTGGGCCTGGGCACTGTTCTTCAGCTCTTCAGCTCAAGGTGAGCACTCTACCACTTTGAGCCACAGTTCCACTTCTAGTTTTCTGGTGGGGGGCGTTGGGGTGGTATTTGAGAGTCTCTTGGACTTTTCTGCCCAGGCTGGTTTTGAACCATGATCCTCAGATCTCAGCCTCCTGAGTAGCTAGGATTATAGGCGCCTGGCTTCTTTTTTTAATGGTAAGAAAACTTGGCAGAGCTTCATTGAGTAAGGAAGCAAGCAGGCAAGCAGACAGACAAAAAGCAGACAGACAATGGATGCTCTCCAAGGGAGAGAGACACCTGTCTTATTCTTGAGTAGCAGAAGGTTTGTAGGTTTAATTGCATGAAATTTTATGATAACTGGCTATAGTTTATAGTGTTTTATAGTTATAACTAAAGCTTGGTTTTTACTTTATTATTTTTTGTGGTACTAGGGTTTGAACTCAGGTCCTCTCACTTGCTAGGCTGACACTCCACCACTTCAGACCACATCTGGCCTGTCTTTTTGCTCCTTATTGTGGAATTTTGGAGATGGGGGTCTGCTATATTTTTCTGCTTGGGCTGGCTTTAAACTATGATCCTTCAGGCCTCAGCTTTTTGGGAAGCTGGGATTGCAGGGGTGATCCACTAGCTCACAGTTAGGGTAAAAGCTGCATTTGGACTTTTTTTTTTAACAGCAATTTCCTTCTACCCTTGCAAAAATAAAAAGGGGCTTGTGTGTGTGTGTGTGTGTGTGTGTGTGTGTGTGTGTGTGTGTGTGTGTGTGTGTGTGTGTGTGTGTGTGTGTGTGTGTCTTAATGCTTTTAATACTGCATTACTATAAAAAGAATATTTGGCAGTTTGTGTTGCCCCTAAAGAAGGTATCTTTTCCAAATAGAAATAAAAGTCATAGCAATTAACACTGCTGAAGTAAGTTCTTAATTTTCTATGGAGAACTAATGCCCATTTACATTTAATAAAAACAGATTTACTTAGAGATTGGTTCAGTTGCTCAATCATGTAGTTATATATTATTATAGATATTAGCAGTGGAATATTGATCCTGGTCAGTTGGGGTGAGGAAACATGAGTATCATTTACTGTCTTTTCCTTTCCACCCAATTCCCTATTCTCTCTAAGTAAGAATGTAAAGGGACTGGGTTGTTAATTTATACATCTAATTCTTTGGGTTATGTTAACCAGTGCAGCTTTATAGAGCCTGAATTGTTGGCAGTGAATAGGGTTTTTTTTGTTGTTGTTGTTTATTTTTGTCATTCTGTGTTCATTATTCTCTTTTAAAGATAGTGGAACGCATAAATATTAACATTGTTTTGGCATGCAGACATATTTTATGGTGGTACAAATCATTGACCTAGTGACAACTTTCTGAATAAAAACATAATGCAATAAACATTTTCAACTGGTTGAAAATTTTTATCACACGCTTAATAAGCCATGTATACAGTATAGATAAATACAAGCATATAGGAGGCAGAGGATAGGAAAATAGGGCCCATGAGTCCAGTTTTTCAATCTTGCAGTACACATACTATTACTGAACATTTGAGTAATACTTGATTAAAAAAAGTGGCTTAGTGACATTAGAGACATTTAATTTTATCAGCTAAGTAAAACAAATGACTACCAGCTTAATTTTCTGTCTCGGCAAGTATTTGTGGTGCTGTCTGCCAAGAATGATGTTGAGTGCAAGAATTTTGTAATAATAGAATGTATTTTTAATTCTCCTTTAGAATCAGGAACAATAACCCATCTCAATTTTTTTCCTTCTTAAGGAATTGCATTTTTGAAAAAGGAACAACAAAGCCTGCTTCTTCAGGGATCACCTCTCAGAGCACTTTTGCTGATACTTTATTTCTAGTAAGACATTTTCCTTTTTCTATGTTATGGAGTAAATAAAACACAATGGAAATGCTGTCTCAAAATCAAGCTGTTTTTGTGATTGTGGATCATAGAAATCTTAGAATTTTATCTTAGGGTTTACTGCAGATCAATTAAGTTAGTAAACTATTTGAAATGTATAATAGTGGTGCACTTTGTCTAATACTGCAGAGATAACACTATTTGAACTTTTACACTTCCTGATGCTTAGTTTTTCATTCAGTATAACCATCAATATATTAGCTTTTATTTTTAAAGGTTCCTTTCTATTTACTGTCACAGCGTAAAGGACAAAGGATTGGGGACATGAATTATATTATCCTAGAAAAATCTTTAAATGAACAATTAAGTAGGAAAATATCAGAAGAGGTAGAAGAGACTGGAGGAAAAAATAAGCAAATTTTAGGGAATCTTAAAATATGGACTTCTTATTTTATTTTTACTTTTTTGCCTTTGGGCTGGAAGTGTAGCTCACTGCTCACCAATATAGCAAGCATGAGGCCTTGAGTTTAAATTCTAGTACAGCTAAGAAAAGAAAAAAATTGATTGCTTCATAGATTGATATTTATAAAGTACCAGTGAAGGTTATTTTGATTGAAAATTTTATGTTGGCTTAGGTTTATGCAGATGTATCTTCTTCAGAAGTTTTAATGAATGTAACTTCATCTGACTCTACTTTCTACTTAAAATAGAAAAGACAAATTAATATAGAAAAGACAAAATAAGTAATTTTAAAACATGTTCATAGGAGTAATGTTCAGTGGTTATGAAAAATTTAACATTTAAAATAATAAGTATTATTGAACTTCTTGCTGATTATGTTATTAATAAAAACTTGGGGAAGTAGAGCTGTGGCTCAAAGTGGTAGAGTGCTAGCATTGAACAAAAGAGCTCAGGGACAGCGCCCAGGCCAAGTTCAAGCCCTACAACTGAAAACAAAACAAAACATAACAAAAACAATAACCTTGGGGAAGGTATGTTAAAAGTTTTTGTTTTTCATTTTGCTTAGTTGAGCATGGTGGTATACTCCGCACTCAGGAAGCTAAACAAAGCCTGAGGATTGTGAATTTGAGGCAGCCTGGGCTGTACAGCAAGACTCTATCTCACAAAACAAAACAAAAAAGAATACTTTGGATGTTGGGCATAGTAATTCAGCACTTAGGGAAGCTGAGGCAGGAGAATCACAAGTTCAGGGATAGCCTAGCAACTTAAATAACACACCATCTTAAGTTTTCTACTGCGTAATAGAAAAATATTTTAGAAATAATAGAAAAATATTTTATGAACTAGTGTTTTTGTTAAAATATCATAGTATGTTGTCCGTTTCATATGACTATATATTTCTTTTTATAACTCGATTGATTTATGATATCCTTTATCACATAAAATATAATGTATCCTTTAGGAATAAGGAGAAAAAGGCTTGTTTTCCCAGCTGACCCAAAGTGACCTTCAGCCCAAAACTTCTATATGTACAAATCAAGTGGGGATAATAAATTTCAAATCTCATTTTGAAATACAAATCTGGGTATAAAGTCCTCTGTAAATGTTTGAATTTTTAAATTTTTCTCTATTACATTTCTCATGTATTTTATTCATTGACTGCTCAAAACGGAATGACTTGAGCAAAAACACTGTGTGAATCTCAGCTACTCCCTTGTTTAAATCATAGACCTCTGAACTTTCTCTGAGTCCTTGACAGCTGGGTCACAGCTTCAGTGGTTGTGTAACAATGCTGTCCATCACTGTTTAGGTGCCGCCTCAGTGCTGCCTCCTCCACTGGGCCCTCCCAGTGTAGTATGTCTTATTCATGGCAGGTTTTCTGTGGCTCTGTTGATTGTATTTGCATTAATAGTGACTCACGTGGGAGTTACTTAAGTATTTCTTAAAGGAAGATGCTCTTTTAAAGAGATTCATAATAGACCATAGTATGTTAGATAGGAATTTCCCTATAGTTCTGCCCTAGTTTAAGAGTAGAAATTTGGAGTTTGTCACAGGGATTGGGCAAAATTGTATCTTAGCATTTGCTTTTTTACTCATGCCTTGGACTGTATTTAGGCTTGTAATTCTTTGTTTGTTTTGTTTTGTCTGTCCTTTTTATACTAGGGATTGAACCCTGAGCTTGTAATTCAGTTTTTAATTTATGTTTTAAATGTAATATGAAGTAAAGGTTGAGGTTGATTTCTTTGAGTATGTGTATTGGTTTGTTCCAGTAGCTTTTTTGGGAGGAGGGCGGGCAGTACATCCTGGGGTTTGATCTCAAGGTTTTACTTGCTCTTCTTCCTTGCTCAGCTGGCTCTCTACCACTTGAACTACCTCTGCAGCCCAGCTTTTTGCTGGTTATTTTGGAGATGGAGTTTCATGGAGCTTTCTGCCAAGGCTAGCTTCAAATTGAGATCCCTGGAGTCTCCTGAGTAGCCGAGTGTTCCAGGCATGTACCATCAGTGCTGGCTTTCGCAACTTTTTTGACAAGCCTTTCCTCTGTTGAATTACTTAGACATCTTTGTTGAAAATTAGTTAATTGTTATGTGTGGGTTAATTCTGCTCTGTTGATCTGTATGTCTAGCCATACAATAATGTTGCATTCTCTTGATTATAGATTTATAGTAAGTCTTAAAATCAAATAATATAAATTCTCCAACTCCTATTTGATTTCAAGATTTAGCCTGTTCTGTATTCTTTCCACTTCTGTTTCTGTAGTTTTCCAGATCCCATCTTATCCAGTTGCCAGGCACAGTGTCACACTCCTGTCATCCCAGCTGTATGGGAGGCTGAAATTGGGAGGATCACTGTTTCAGACTACCCTTGGCAAAATCTTAACAAAACTCCGTCTCAGTGGACATGGTAGTGCACATCTAACATTCTAATGGAAATAGGAGGATCATGGTTCAGGAAATGTGAACCCCTATCTTAAGAGTAACCAGAATAAAAACATCTGGACATACTGGCTGAAGCAGTAAAAGCACCTGCTTAGCAAGCACAAACCCCTGAGTTCAAACTCCAGTACCACCACAACAGTAAAGAAAACGTGTTGACATTTTGTTGGCATTATATTAAATCTCTACATTATTTTGGAAAGAGTACTTTCATAAAATTGAATCTTCTGAAATTCTGCAAATGTGATGTCTTATTCAGTATATTTTAAGTTTCTCTCAGTCTGGACATTTTTTTTTGTTTTGCAAGTTTTGTTTCACATGCTTTACTTGTTTATGTACTTTGTTGATAGGAATGATTCAGTATAGAAGAAATATTTTATATCATAGGAAAGAATTGCTGGAGCCAAGATCTAAAACAGAAAGAAGAGCAGAGTATATGAGAAGTCACTGATGAGTAGCTAGTTGTGATGGCAAGAATTTGAGGTCCTAAATTCTGATGGCTTGTACTTTGACTGGAGAATAGATAGCAAAACTCTCAACTGAGCATGAACAGGAGAAATAAAAATAATTAACCTGGAAATTAGGACATGGAAGACTGTTGGGAAAAACAAAGGGGGTGTTTGAGGCCTGAGTCCATTGACATTTGTGAACAGAAAAACATTTTTTTTCCCTCTAGCCATTTTTACCTACATTGCAGGGAGCAGATCCTCTCCAGAATAGAATTTTGTCATCATATGGAGACATGGGATGGAGGGAAAGGGGCAAAAGGATAGAGGCCAAGAGACATGAGAGTTTGTGAAAATTGAAGTAGAATAGGAGCCAAGGAAGGAACAAAATGCGGGCCAGGGACAGTGGGAAGGTGGTAGACATGTTATTTCCAGGACAGTGTAGAATCAGGATTGTTGCATTTAGATTATTAGAGTATGTAAACTGGAAACATAAGAGGTAATAAGGAGGATGCCTAATAATTTAGCCTGTTACAAGTAATTTATTAGCAGATTTTTGTGGGTTATTTGTATTAGTATTTATGTGACAGTTATGTTATTTTTTTGCTTTAACCTTTATTTCTTCATTTCTACTGCTTGAGATTCTATTCTTTTTTGTGACTCTTTAAGATGGTTATTTAGAAATTGAATTTTGGCCTTTCCTCCCCTATATATACCTATTTTAAAGCGAAATGTTTATCTCTAATAAATATGACTTCAATTGTATCTCATAATTTTGATACAAAATATTTTAACAGCCTTCTATTTGAAATATTTTCTCATTTTCACTGTGACTGCTTTACAGTGTGGATCATTTACAGTTATTGCTTCATGCTTACACTTAAAACCTTTTATGTAACATTTTTATTATGTCTAGATTGAGATCAGAGAACATGTCTGTGTTTTGTATGTAGTTATGAAGAAAGTATTTTTTTAGTTGTTTGGTGTAGTATTCTATGTTACATTTTAACCTCGTTAAATCCTTTTCTTTTTATTTCATTCTGCTTATTCATTCCGATCTGGTTCTGTTAAATCAGCTGGCTATAAGTATGTGTGCTATGGGGATTGTGCTTTATATGTATTGTTATACTTAGGTTTCTTAGCTGGCCTTTAGGAAGAGTATAATTTAATATCTTCAAAATTCAGTACAATCTTTAAACAGACTTGTATATGGGAAATTTCACACATCCCATTCCAGTATTCTACAATTGGTAGAATATTGGAGTCACGTGTAAATATTGGTTAGAAGTATACTTAGTGTCGGAAAAAAAAGCATGCATCTTTTATGTTGTTGCAATTAGCAAGATGTGTTAATACATTAAAAACATCGCCTCATTGTCTGCCATGTATTTGTCCTGAACACCTTTCTAATTGTCTTTCATGTTCAGCCCTTACTTTTGTTTTGATTTATAGAGTATACAAAAGTGTTGAGAAATTGTAGAGTAGAGAAAAAAAGCTACCTGCCATAAGGTCATGTAGTAGGCATTTTACATCTTACCCATGATAATTAATTACTATAAGTAGGCATTTTCTGTCTTGCAGTTAAATTTTAAAAGAGAAATGATTGAGGATTATGTGTTAATGTGTAAGGATATAATTTTCCCTACTTAAATAGCAAATAAACCCTTTGTTACAGTTTTTGCACAGAATATCTGATTTTTGTTAGGAATGTGACTAAATGTGTTATTAGATACTCTCAAGTTTAGAATTGTTACATTCTGTACAGTATGTTCACAAATAAAATAAAATTAAATTAAAAAAAAAATAAATAAAAAAAATAAATAAATAAAAAAAAAAAAAAAAAAAAGAATTGTTACATTCTTCCTGGTAAATTCCTTCCTTCCTTCCTTCCTTCCTTCCTTCCTTCCTTCCTTCCTTCCTTCCTTCCTTCCTTCCTTCCTTCCTTCCTTCCTTCTTTTCTTTCTTTCCTTTCTTTCCTTTCTTTCTTTCTTGTTTTTTGTCGGTCATGGGGCTTGAACTCTGGGCCTGGGCGCTGTCCCTCAGCTCTTTAGCTCAAGGCACCCTCTACTACTTGAGCCACAGTGCCACTTCTGGCTCTTTCTGCTTATGTGGTGCTGAGGAATTGAACCCAGGACCTCATGCATGCAAGGCAAGCACTCTTATCACTGAGCCACCTTCCCAGCCCTTGAATTGAATTTCTGTTCATTTTTGTCCTCTCTTTTAAGATGTAGTCTTATAATCATCTTACGATTGGGCTTTGTCTTTAAATAGTGTTCTGCCTTTTTTTTTTTTTTGGTTGGTCATGGGGCCTAAACTCTGGGCCTGGGCTCTGGTCCTCAGCTCTTCAGCTCAAGGCTAGTGCTCTACTACTTGAGCCACGGCACCACTTCTGGCTTTTTCTGTGTGTAATATTAAAATCTACAAAATATTGTTGTTGATATTTTGTTAATATTCATTCATCAGTTATTTATTTACCCTGTTGTTTGTTCTGGTTGATTGTTCTTTCCACTTGAAGAGGTCTCTTCAGTGTTGACAGTTCTGTTTCCCTTCTCCTCACAGTGTCTATTTTACCTTTATTGTGAAGGATATTGTTTCTCAGATAAAGAATTCTAGTTTGGCATTCTTTCCCTACCTCTAGCACTTTGAAGATAGCATTCCTTTGGCTTCTCCCTTTATTATTTACATGAAACAGTCAGCTAGCTGTAAATCTTACTCTGTGTCTTAAGGTCAAGCAACCCGCTCTGACTATCTTTCTTTCTTTCTTTCTTTTTTTTTTTGTCGGTGTGGGGCCTGAACTCTGGGCCTGGGTGCTATATCCCCCAGCTCTTCAGCTGTAGACCAGCACTCTACCACCTGAGCCTCAGCACCACTTCCGGCTTTTATGTGGTGCTGAGGAATCGAATCCAGGGCCTCATACATGCAAGGCAAGCACTCTACCACTGAGCCACCTTCCCAGCCCCTCTGACCATCTTTCTATGGGAGATCAGCATCCTTCTTTGATGAGCCTAAGTGTATTTATTATATTTATTTTACTTGAGGTTTTATAAATTTGAAATCTCAAGTCTGTTTTGAAATTTTTTAACTTATATCTTCAAATACTTCTCTACCATATTTTACCCTTCCCTTTCTGGGACTCCATTCACATATATTTTTGGCTCCTTTCTCCATATTCCATATATATATATATATATATATATATATATATATATATACACACATATATATATATATATTTTTTTCTTTTGGTCATGGATCTTGAATTCTGTGCCTGGACGCTGTCCCTCAGCTCTTCAACTCAAGGCTAGTACTCTGCCACTTGAGCCACAGCACCTTTCCATTTTTTTCTGTTTATATGATGCTGAGGAATCGAATGTGTGGCCTCATGTGTGTGAGGCAAGCACTCTACCACTGAGCCACCTTCCCAGCCCGTTTTCCATATTTTTAAATACTCTTCTGTATTTGTCAGTCTCATATCTTTGTATTGAACAGTGTGCTTTCTTCTTTTCTGTGTTCTGGAGTGATTGGTTGTTGCTTTTTCCCCTCTGGTGCCTAACCTGTTAATAAACTAGTTCATAACTTAATTTTTCAGATTCATGCTTTTTTTCTGTTATTGTCTATGAAGATTTTTTTAAATTTCTTGAACAGTTTTAACTAAAATTTCAATCCTTAATGGATCTGTTGTAAGTCTGTTTTTTTAAATAAGTTTTTTTGTGTGTGTGAAAATACTGTACCAGAGGGGTTATAGTTACATGAGCAAGGTAATGAGTACAATTCTTATCAAGCATTGTTGCCTCCTCTTTTGTTTTTCCCCTACCATCCCTTCTCTCCCACCTCCACAACTACACTCCCACACATCAGCCTAAATTGTAAAGTTTGTTTTTCAATACAGTGTCTTGTACATCTCATTAATACAATGGGTCAACCTATATCCCTATTTAAACATTTTGTTTTTTTCCCTTCCCATCCCCAAATTATACCGACATCAAATACAATGAAAACAGGGGTTATACCATGGGGGAGGAACATACAAAGCAACAAAAGAATCACAGGGTACCTTATAAATACGTTAGAAACGATAGCAAGGAAGAAAAAAAAAAACACTTGTGTCGCTATTTTGGGATTCATTTCACTTAATTTCATCTTATCTGGTCATATGTATATAGCTTTTGACCTTTTCTGTTTGTCTCAGTTGTAAGTCTGTTTTTAATGTCATTTTTAAATCTTGGGAATTTTTGCATATATCTTGTTGCTTATTTTTTATTTCTAGGGATTTTATATGAAAATAGGTAAAATTATAATTTCAATTCTGGTTAATGTTACCTTTGCTACTGGTATGTAGCTGTACTAATAACCCCTACTAGTCCAGATTACCTCTAATTTGATCTGGGATTGAGATGATTCGTAGTGATTCTTCCTTCCATCCATGTGTGTTAGTCTATTTCTGGTTTATCTCTATGTCTGGGATACAGTTCTTTGGAGCCTCTCCAGATGGCTGGTATGTTTTACTAGGGCCAGTGCTCTTGGGCAGACCCTTGTAACTAATGTTTGTTTCCCTACTTGGAGATCTCTCAGAAACTCAGTCTACTTTCTCAGTTCCTCACTCTATAGTTTTGGAATCCATAAGCAAAAAATGGAAGATAGATAGTACAATGTGTATCTTAGAAGCAGTAGCAGATCTTGAATACTTGAAATTTATGAATAATTATCTTACATTCTACAGTACACATTTTTATAATGGCAGAGTGTAATGTGTTAGAGAACATGGTTTGAAGTAGGTCAGGCTCTTCCATTTATAATGCCTTTCTGATAAGGAAATGAGAAGCAGCTTCTTTGTTTGGGTCCCCATCTTTCAGTTCCTCTGATGTTTCTTACAGGCTTTTGTCCTGGATCATCAGGGCATGCTAGTCTCTCTGGTTGGCATGTAGATCTTCATACTCAAGTTTTAAATAGGAGTCACAACTTCCTGAGTTTAGGTCAGATAAATGAACTTTTTAACTTTTGAATTGTTCAAACTCCTCCTTTATACAATCATTTGGTGTTTTTTTTTCCGCTCTAGAATCTGAACTCTATGAATAATAATCATGTCCCCCACATACTAATTTTCCTTATGCCTCATTCAGTGTTTGGAAGTAAATTTACTGTAAGTAGGTGGTCTTCCAGGCCTAGAGTTCAAGACCCATTACCAAAAAAAAAAAAAAAAATGTAAGTAGGTGGTCAGTTAATAGGTTTTAAATTGTCAATAAGTGATCACTTGTATGAATGCAAAAAATACAGTAAATGAGGGAATATAGGTAAGAAAGGATGCACTGATGATCATTTGGTAGTGATAAAACCTGGGCATCCTGTTCAGACTTAATCAGATTTGCACAATATGACTTAAGTCATATAGATTAAAATACTTCAAAAATATTGCCTGTAGATCTATTACTTTTTTAAGTGTTTACTTCTCATTCCTTCATTAGTTATTTTTTATTATGTAGGTTTTAGTCGCAGATTTTTAAAGCAATATAACCATCTTTCAGAGCATATTATTGTCCATATTATTGTCATTCTTCTTAAAGATAAATTGGATAAAACATTCTTGAAAGATAGAAAAATGTAAAATTTACTTGTTCTCATATTCTCATTTTCTCTTCCATCTTTCTCTTCTCAAAGATGTTACAGTTTATTCTACCAAGAGGATGTTGGTTTCATCAGGGAAATGATATTTGAACTGAGTGTTGACTGACAAGGAAATGTTTATTAAATAACCAAAGAAGCTGTATTTCATTTAAAGGCATATTATGTGAAAGTTCTACCAGCGGCTTTGTAAATTGATAGATAATAATTTGACTGGAGGCTATGGGGGTGTACCAGAATTTGTAAAGGCAGCTTTACCTTTATCAAGAAGACCATCAAAGCTTGTAAAGATACATCATGATGTTTAAGAGAAGTTCTGGAGTCAGACTTGCAGAACTCTGTCCTTCCTTATCCTGTGCCTTTGCACATTTCTTAACTTTTCTGTGTCTTAATATTCCTGTTCATAAAATGGAGATAATTTTATCTAACTTGATAGATTCTAGTTAAGATTGAATGAGTTAGGATTTGGACATATTTAAAAAAAGTGCCTGGCACATAGAAAAATCTTGGTAATGTTGCTGTTGTTGTAGTTACTATTTTATTGAAGAAAAACCTCAACATTGCAAGTGAGTTACTTTAGCCAGAGCTAGGAGCCCAAAGATATTCAAAAGATATTTTAGGTGGAAAATGAGTAATATTTCAACTTATTTACTAATGGTATCTACTCAGAAATCTCAGTTAGTAATGCTGTCTACTTTTATGCCCTAAAAGTAGATTTGAAATTTGTATGACATTTTTATGATTCTTAAACTTATAGAACTGAAATCTTCTAATCTGTGTTTTCTTTTAGATCTTAGAGAAGATTTCAGCTGTAGCCCTTGGACTAGAAACTGAAATAATAGAAGCTGTGTACGATGCATTAGGGTATTGAAGAAAATTAATTTTTGAATTAAATATTTGGCATATAAGGAAAGAAAGGTGACTGAAAATGGGGCGGAAGAAAATACAAATCACACGCATAATGGATGAAAGGAACCGGCAGGTAAATGAAAGTTTTAATTTACTTAATTGATACAGACTTTATTTTTAAACCTAGGATAGAATGGTTGATATTTTCTTAACTTTAATTTTGAGTCTTAACTATTTTTTAGTTTTATAATCATAAGATTATGTCTGACCATTTTGTGCATTGAAGATATTTTTATTACAGAAATTATATAGATGACTTAGATATGCAAAAAGTCAAATCACTGTAGTCCTGCTATTATCAATGGCATAGATTTTTCATATGATATTTAGCATTTGATACATTATTTGTATGAGTGTTAGTCTTATATTGATTATTATTTTCAAATATCTCTGTTCATTATTAGGTAAAGTCTCACTGAAATTATCAGTGAATGTGTTCTTGTCTACACTTTCTGATTAACTTAGAAATAATGACAATAGTTTGTTGCTGATTTTTAAATTCAGTGTCACACATCTCTAAAACATTTATGTATGATAACAGCTTTAATTGATAGATTTGCAGTACCAGTATCAGTAAATCCTTATCAATTCAGAATAATTATGATGATGATGATGACAGTGATGTATGAAGAGACCAAAGGTGTGTTTGGATCAAACTGTGGCCCATAGGCTAACTGCCTGTTTTTTGAAATGAAGCTTTATTTAAAACACAGATAAATGCATCCATTTCCTTATTTTCTACTTTTTCATTATAACAAAATTGAGTTGTTGTCACCAAGACTATATATATGGCTTATAGGCTTAAGATCTTTGCTCTCTGGCCTTTTAAAATAAAGTTTGCTAATTCCTTGGTTTACAAAAAAGAAGAAAAAATAATTTTGTAGAATATGAGAAATAAACTACTATTTAAAGCATGTACAAGAAGGAGAGATGTTATCTGTGAGAACACTGGGGAAGTTTTGAAGTGCAGTTTCTGAATTTACTGGAACACAACCCTGAAGATGTGTTTTGCCATCAGGGTTGTAGTTTAACTGAATGTAGGTAGAACCAGGGACAGAACTCAGTGGAACAGCTAGTGGGAGCAAGCACAGTAGTCCATAGACTGAGCAGAGCCCCATTTCCACTCATGCAGGTTCCTTAGCAAAGGAGAAAGGCTCACACAGTGTGATGCAGATGCAGTATGAAGGCTGATAAACCAGGCCAGATTGATAAAATGATCATTCATCATCCCAAAGGAATAAATTCTCCAAGCAAGGGTGCAAGTAAATCTCCTTTCACAAATCTGAAGGTTGTGACATGTAGAGGAGGGGACTCTCTCTGTGCATGTATGTTGTGTAAGTGTTAAATAGTGTGCATTTGAGAATAACACGAGTGGGAAAGTAGCAGCAGTCGTAAAATTCCTGAGCTCTCATATTACAGATAATCGTATTTCCATGGGTCTAGCTAGACTGGACCTACCTGTGGAATAGAAGAAAACAGGAGCTAGGAATTCGTAGGTAACTTTGCTGTTAAGCTTTTAAGTTTTGTTAAAAAGATGGAACCTGCCTCTGCTTGGAGCAACTGCGGTTAGCCTGTTTCTTTAATGGATTTATCTGCTAAGTCATCTTTTTAACTAATGCTGCCAAACAGGACAAGGGCTATCTGAATCTCTCTCTCAGATAATTTCAGTAAAGAACCAAGGAAAGATAAGAAAAACACAGTGATGCAATTGACTTTTGAGGTTCAACTAAGGCATAGACACAATTTGTCATAAACCAAAATGATACCTTAATTTTACTGTTTTTTTAAATTTATAGATTCTGAGTAAAATTTTTCCCCCTTCCTTCCTTCCTTCCTTCCTTCCTTCCTTCCTTCCTTCCTTCCTTCCTTCCTTCCTTCCTTCCTTCCTTCCTTCCTTCCTTCCTTCCTTCCTTCCTTCCTTTCTCTCTCTCTCTCTTTCTTTCTTTTTTTTTGCCAGTTGTGGGGCTTGAAGTCAGGGCCTGGGCACTGTGAGCTCCATTGCAGAAGACCAGCACTCTATCACTTGTAGCCACAGCTCCACTTCTGCTTTCTTTCTCTTTTTATTTCTCTGTTCCTTTCTTCCCTCCCTCCCACGATCCCCCTCTCTTTCTTTCTTTCTTTTTTGCTTGCTTGCTTTCTGTTTCTTTCTCTCTTTCTTTCTGTCCTGGGGCTTGGACTCAGGTCAGGGCCTGGCACTGTCCCTGAGCTTCTTTTGCTCAAGTCTAGCACTATATCACTTGAGCCACAGCACAACTTCTGGCTTTTTCTGTTGATGTGGTACTGAGGAATCAAACCTAGGGTGTCATGCATGCTAGGCAAGCAGTCTACCACTAAGCCACATTCAAGGAGGAAATTGTTTCTAATGCCCTTTATTTATCCAGATAAGTATGTATTTTGTTGGTTCTTGGAAGTTATTAAATTATGTAGCCTGGGTATGTATTTAAGTATATGGTCCATAGAAGTAAATTAGGGACCAGGGAAGTTTACATACAAACTACTGACTTTTAAAGGGGTGGCTCAGGGAACAGTTGCTGGAGAAGGTAGCTGTGAATGATAGAACGTAAGAATCACAGAATAGGTCACTGGACTCAGGACTACATGGAAAATCTGGGAAATGACCGTACTGTGCACATGAAGAGCTGCTTCACTTTGCTTCCCATTGGTGGGTTTTAGTGAAACTGCATTAATCATTGAAGGCGTTGATTAATCAACTTTTTTAAAAAGCAAACTTTGTATTAAAGTATAACAAAAAGGAAAGTTTACAGATTTTAGTGTGTGGTTTGGTGAATTTGGAAGACAGAACATAGCTATGTAGCCAGAGTACATTCAGGTACATTGACCTGCCTCACAATCCCTCTGGCTCTAGGAAAGTTAGCAACCTGCTCTGGTAACTCTGTAGATTATTCCTGTTGTTGAATTTACTTGAACAGTGTATACTCTTAAGCAGCGTTATGTTTGTGAAATCCACCAATGTTATTGTTGCATATACATATACACAAACATATTGGTACATTTTCTTTAGGGCATAGTATTCCATGTGTGGATATAATTTTTATTAGATATATTAGTTGTGCAAATGATCTTTGTGTCTTCCTTTTTAAAAAAAGTTTTTAAATGAATGTTATTATTCTAGCTTTATATATAGATATGAAATATTTTGATTATATTCACCTCCAGTACTCTTTTCTTTCACTCTCATCTCCCTCTGGCCCCCACCAAACAGTATTCCTTTTATGTTGATTTTTCTTTTTCTTTTTTGGAGGAGCTTTGAGCTTGGTGCTTTAGACTTGCTTAAGCAAGTGCTTTGTTATTTGAGCTGTGTTCTCTAGCCCTTTCTTGCTTTAGCATGCTTTTCAAATAGGGTTTCATGCTTTTGCCGGGACCAGCCTCAGGCTGTGATTCATTCACCTCCACCTCTTGAGTAGCTAGGATTTATAGGCATGTGTTACTATGCATATGCCCCCTCCATAGATTAGAGGGAACACGCAATATTTATTTTCTGAGTCTGACTTATTTAGCTTAACACGATGATCTCCTGTTGTATCTGTTGTCTTGCAAATAACATAGTTTCATCTTTATAGCTGAATAATATTCCATTATATATATAAATATATATGTATATATGTTGGATATACATTGTGTATGTGTCTGCTATATTTTCTTTATCCAGTCATTGGTTGATGGGTACCTCAGCTAATCCTATGGCTTGGCCATTGTGAATAGTGCTGCTGTAAACATAGGTGTGCCTTTATCTCTACTGTATAGTATATGGTAGTTCTAGTCTTATTTATTTATTCATTTATTTGTGGCACTGGTATTTGAATGTGCTAGACTGGCACTTTTCTGCTGAGCAGTACCTCAAATGACTTACTTTTGGTTTTTTAAGGAACCTTCATACTGATTTGCCCTAATATATGAGGGTCATTCCCTGCCCCCATACTCTGCATTTGTTTTTGTTTTCTTGATAGCCATTCTGACTTGGGTAAAATAGAATCTAATTGTTATTTTAATTTTCATTTCCTTTATGTTTAGGGATGTCAAATGTTTCTTCATATATTGTCATCTGTACTACTATTGAGAACTGTCCAGTTTACTTGCCCATTTATTAATTGTTTTTCTTTGAGTTTTGAGTTCTTTCTGTATTTTGAATGTTAGTCTTCTGCCTCATGAATAGCAGGCAAAGATTTTCTTCCATTCTGTAGATTATTTCTTTGGTAATTGTTCCCTTTGGTGTACAGAAGCTTCTCAGTTTGATGCAGTCACATTTGTAAATTCTTACTCTTCCTGATTAATTGGAGTCTTATTCATAAAGTTTATGCCCATGCTTACATCTTTAAGTTTTTTATGTTTTCTTGTAATAATTTCAAAGTTACAAGTCTTACATTAAGATCTATGATCCACTTTGAATTGATTTTTGTACATGACTGAGAGATTGGGATCTAGTTCTGTTTTTCTACACATGGATATCCATTTTTCTCAACATCATTTATTGAAGAGAATGTCCTTTCTCTAATATGTTTTTAGCACCTCCATCAAAAATCAGATGACTATAGATAATATAGGTTTATTTTAAGGTCTTCTGTTTCATTGGTCTTCATATCTCTTTTTGTGTCAGTGCCTTGTTTTTTATAACTGTGGCTTGGTAGAATAATTTGTGTTTTGTGATTTGTATTATGATACCTCCAGCCTTGTTCTTTTTGTTCAAAATTTCATGGCTTTTTCCACTTTTTTTTTTTTTTTTACTATTTTAAATAGAAATTTAGTATGTTGAAAATGAACTTTACAGCTTTCTTTGGGGGTGGGGTGAGGGAGAAGTCATGGAGGTGGGGAGGGAAGGGATGGTAGGGGAAAAACAAAGGAGGAGGTAAAAATGCTTGACAGGAAATGTACTCATTACCTTACTCATGTAACTATAACCCCTCTGTACAGTATTTTTACAATAAAAATATATACAAAAAATAAATAAATAGAAATTCAGTTTTCTATATGGATACTAGTTTGAAGCATGCTTTTTAAATATTATTTAATATTCTTATTTTGGACATGTGGGCACTTAAATATCTAACTGTACCA